ACACACAGTGACCCGTGGTGTGTCCGGTCCTGTCCCCGGGCAGGGGACACACACAGTGACCCGTGGTGTGTCCGGTCCTGTCCCCGGGCAGGGGACACACACAGTGACCCGTGGTGTGTCCGGTCCTGTCCCCGGGCAGGGGACACACACGGTGACACCACAGCCCCGTCCTCGCCGTGTTTCCTTCCCGTTTTCCTCCCTGTTCCTTCCTGCGAGTCTCCTCCTCTCCCATATATTTGTTCCCTCCCTTGAGTTCCTTCCTCTTCTGCATTTTAAAACACTTTTTCTGCATTTTCTTCACGAGACTGTAATTATCTTATCTAACACTGAGCATTTTTATTTTAAGGGCTTTTTCAAACCGCTGTAGCCCCTCACCGAGACACGTGTTTATCTTTGTGTTTCCTCTTTCAATACGGAAGTTTTTACTGCTGGAGGCGTTCTCACCTTAGGGAAACCTCAGGGTGGGCTTTTAAACATTTCAGTGGGAAACGGGCTGAGCAAAGATCTTTTATTATTATGTTTTGAACAAAATTTTTGTTGCTTTGGCTGCTTCTCACACTCATCGTGCTGAGCTCTCCCAACTGTGTGTGTGGGACAACACTGAGAGGAGGAGGCTGGAGGGATCATTCCCTACGGGCGTGGGGCAGGGAGGAGGGGTGGTGACAGGACGGGGCCCTGGGCCGGGGGTGACAGGAGGGGACACGGCGGGAGGAGCCTCCGGGTCCGGGCCGGGGGCAGCGCTCGCCGCCCAAGATGGCGGCGGCCCCTGAGGCGACCCCTTTGTCTGCGGCCGCCGCCGCATTGCGAGAAGGGCGCGAAACTGGGGCAGCGCGGACACGCCCCCAGCTCGCGGTGTGGACGGGGCGTGCGGCCCCCCCGGCCAATCAGCGGCCTCCACTTCCTTCCCTCTCACAGGGGCGCTCCCGCCCGCCCCCGCGAGCGCAGCCAATCGGCGGCGCTCACCGCGCCCCGCCCCCGGATGGGCGGAGGGGGCGGGGCCACTCGGCTGGTTTGTTTGCGCGCCCCTCCCCTCGCTCCCCGCCGCGGCTCATGAATATTAACGAAGTCCCGCCCAATCGGGTGGTGCGGCGGTGGCAGCGCTTTGGTGGCGTAATCGCCCCGCCTTGCGGCGGGATTAATCTGCATATTCATGAGATGGGCGGCGCGGAGCGCGGGCGTTTATAAGGCGCCGCCCCGCCAGGCTCGCCGTACATTGCGCTGAGGCTTTGAAGTGCTGTGTGGATCTCGCACCGCCCGGGCACCGGTGAGCGCCACCGCGAGGGGCGGCCGTGGCCGCGCCGGGCCGGGGGGGGGGCTGCGCCGAGCGGAGCCGCGTCCCGGGGGCGGAGGGCCGGGTCACAGGGTAGGCCGGGCCGCGGCGCCCGCCCCGGCGCTTGGTGTGAGCCGCGGGCGTGGGGAGCGCGGCGGAGCGGGCCCGGCTGGGCCGTGTGTGTGGAGGCGGGGAGGGGGAAGGGGAAAGGGCCGCGGAGGGGGGAAACGCGCGCGCGGAAACAAAATGGCGACGGGGCCTCGGCCGTGCAAAATGGCGGCGGGCGGGGAGGGAGGGGGCGGTGTCGTGTCGGGCCGGCCGGCAGGCGGCGCCGCGATGTGCGCATGCGCGCTGGGCCCTTGCGGGCGGGGGCCGGGGGTCCCGCGGGGGCGGCGCTGGGCCCGGCCGGCCGGGAGGAGACCCCCCCACCGCCGCTGAAATCGCGGCCTCGGTGGCGTGTGAGGAGCCTCGTGCGGCGGTGAGGCCACATCGTTGTTGTCATAGGTGGCCTTAGAACGGTTTAGTCTTTCAGACCTCGTTGGGAATGTGTTTTGTGAGTCGCTGACTTGGTTCTGCTGGTTTGGCAGGTCAGGATGGCATCAGACGAGGGAAAGCTCTTTGTCGGCGGGCTCAGTTTCGACACCAACGAGCAGTCGTTGGAGCAAGTCTTCTCTAAATACGGACAGATTTCGGAAGGTGAGACTGCAGAGCCAAGCCGAGCTGGCTTCCACTGGCTTGTTACATTCCCCGGGTGCTGATGTGTTGGTTTTTTTTTTCCATCCTTTCAACAGTCGTGGTGGTTAAAGACAGAGAAACTCAGAGATCCAGAGGTTTTGGGTTTGTTACTTTTGAAAACATCGATGATGCAAAGGACGCAATGATGGCCATGAACGGAAAGGTGAGGAGGCCCTAAAACTGATTCTTTATTACCAAAAACATAAGAGAATCAGGGGAGATGTGCTGTTGTTCAGTCTGTGTGGGGAAAACAGATAAATGCCAGTGTTTTAAGGGCATGAAATTATAGAGATGTAAATAAGATGGTTTCATGATGTTACAAATGTGTGTTTAGCAATTTATGCCTGATACAAAAATTCTACGATTTTACCTGTGTAACTGTGAAAGAGTAGAATTTTATAGGAATTCCTATATAATAGGAATTATATCCAGTTTAAATACCAATTTGTCTATTTGGCTTAGTTTTGACAGGACATAAAGCGTTCCTTGTGTAAGAATCAGTAAATTCTGGTAGTGCTTGGCTGATGGTGAAGCTGTGTAACTCACTGCATCTGTGCTTGGCTGTTTAGATATTTGACCTTTGTGTGGGCTAATTGAGGTTCTGTTTTAGTCCGTAGATGGGCGTCAGATCCGAGTGGACCAGGCTGGGAAATCCTCCGAGAACAGATCCCGTGGCTACAGAGGGGGGTCCTCGGGGGGCCGGGGCTTCTTCCGCGGGGGCCGAGGCCGGGGCCGCGGCTTCTCCAGAGGTGAGAGCGTGTGGGTGACCCGCAGGGCCTGGAGGGGGGTGTCGCTTGTCAGACTGCCTAATAAAACCACGTGTCCTGTCCTTCCAAGGAGGTGGAGAGAGAGGCTATGGCGGCAGCAGATTTGATTCCAGAAGCGGAGGCTATAACGGCTCCAGAGACTACTATAATAGCAGGTAAGGCCCGTGCAGCGCCGGGGCCGTGGGGGAGCTCTGCCAGCCCCGGTGGGTGTCACAGGAAGGGCTGAGCGGGTGTGAAGCAGGTGCTGTTTGTCCCGCAGGAGTCAAGGTGGCTATGGAGACAGGAACTCGGGAGGCTCCTACAGAGACAGCTACGACAGTTACGGTAAGTGCCGCTCCGAGCGGGAGCGCTGAGTCCGTGTGCTGTAGGAGCTCTGAACCTGCTGAGCCTGAGCCTGGAGTGGGGCAGGCTCAGGCTGTGGACGTGGTGGTGCCGGGAGATTCTAATTTAATGCATGTGCAGGAGTTGCTCGGATCTAAGGCAAAGCAAGTGTTAAAAAAGGTTGTTCTGGAGCCCAAACTCGGCTGCCCTTACGCTCTGACCCGCGGGTGGGGGATCTCACAGTAGCCAAGTAGCAGTAGCCTCGGAATAATGCAAGGGAGTAAAATGCTGGAACTTGTCTTTGCTTCAGTGCCTTTACAATTGTGCCTGCTTCTTGTCCTCAGCTACACACAACGAGTAAAAATCCTTCCTGACTCAAGATCGTCCTTCCAATGGCTGTATTTATAAAGATTTTTGGAGCTTCGCTGAAATGGTTATTGTGTAGTACATCTACTTGTATTTTCACTTTTGTAGTATTATCAGTTCTGATCTTGTCAAACACAGCCTGGCAGCTTCTGAAATGAGATGGTCTGATTAGACTGTCTTGGAGAAAGCTCTGCTTTCAAGTGGTTTTAATCTTTTTTGAAAGCACTTCAGATTTTATTTTATCCTCCATGATGAGCCAAGGTGTTACTTTTTTTTTTTTTTTTTT